CCATTTCCATAAATTACTTTGAAAGAAAACAATAAAAAGAATCTGAATACAAAACTATTGCAAAGTATTTCATTTCTTGGCATCAGAGAATTGCCTGTCCAATTGTCAGAAGAAAATAACAAGACAAACGCGGCTCAAACTAATGCCATAAACTCTTACATCTTCAACCAGAAAATGTGAACTATATTTAGAAAAAGGTAGAATTTTGTAATGTGTATGATTGTTTTGGAGGTGGTGTGGTGAGTATTGAGAAATGGTAACCAAGCTGTGGAATCATCAGGTCTTATTTTTCTGTTGCCACTTCTTTCTAATCACATACAAAGCAATGTCTTAATGCAGTAAAGTTCCATTCATTTTTGGAACATTTTGTGACCACATTGTCCAAAATGAGTAATATTGCAAATGTATCTCTGTAATTTCACAGTGAGTGGTCGACTCATCTGGTACTAATCTAAACAATAAACAATTTAGACAGGAATGAAATGTGCGTGTTTGAGGTGTGCATCCCATTCAAGATAAAAAGAAAAAAATATATCAAGATTGGAGGGTGGATAGGAAAGGAAGAAAACAAAGAGGGGGAAATGTTAAATAAAAAAGAAAGAAAGAGTGAAAAATACAATAAACAACAAGAGATAAGTATGGAATATATAGGAAAAAATTGTAAAAAAAAAATAAGCTAAGTGAAAATGAAGGTAAGAGAAAAAAAGAAAGGAAATGAGAAAAATGAAGGAAAGAGAAAAAAGAATGAAAAAGGGGAAAAAATGAAGGAAAGAGAAAAAAGAATGAAAAAGGGGAAAAAATGAAGGAAAGAGAAAAAAGAATGAAAAAGGGGAAAAAAATGAAGGAAAGAGAAAAAAGAATGAAAAAGGGGAAAAAAATGAAGGAAAGAGAAAAAAGAATGAAAAAAGGGGAAAAAATGAAGGAAAGAGAAAAAAGAATGAAAAAGGGGAAAAAATGAAGGAAAGAGAAAAAAGAAGGAAAAAGGGGAAAAAAATGAAAGAAAGAGAAAAAAGAATGGAAATGGGAAAAAAAGGAAAGAAGAACAAATTTGTGAAGATAATAAAAATAAAAGACAATGAATAAATAAGAAAATTAAAGAATGAAAACACAGAAGTTAAGAAAGAATGAAGAAAAAAAGAAAAAGTTAAAGTAAATATTTCCAATAAAAATCACAAGAATTAAAAAGAAATAAACAGTAGTGATGAAAAATGCATAATTTTTTTAAAAAAAGCAAAGTAAAAGGTGAATAAAAAATGATAAAATGATAGAAAAAGAAAACAAATGAGAATGAAAATGCCAAAGAAAAGAAAAGAAAACAATGATTAAAAGAAAAAGAACAAAATATAAAAAATAAAAAGAAAGGAAAAAGGAAATAAGAAAAAAAAAATTAACAAGAGATAAAAAACACAACAGAATAACTGGCACTGTTAATGCATCTCAATTGTTCCTGTGAACATACGACTCCATCATGAATGAAAAAAAAAAGGTAAAAAAGAAAGAGGGAAACTTGAATAAGAATGAATGAAGAAAAGCTAAAGAGAATTTCAAGAAATATTCATGGTCTGTTAATCAGTGATGAAATGGTTGGCACTTTTTTGGCCAGGACTTTGTTAATTCTAGATGATAGGGAACTTATAGCTAAATTTATGTGAATCACAATTTTACTTATCTATTTTCATTTTGTTTTTATTCTTTATATTACTTTCTAGTGCCATCATAAACCTTCTCACTGTACCATTTTCTGGCATAATACAGATTCTTGGATTCTGGCCAGTTCTTCCTGTTAATGGCACTTGAAAATCTTTTACTTTCCATAAGTGCAATGGGAATAAATACCAATATCTTGAAGAAAAAATAATTTTTTCTTCAAGGGTTGAGATTAAAACTATATTATATAATTATCAAGTTTTTTCTTTTTTCTTTATTTATATACACAAGCTTGATGACAATGTATATTTTTTATTTTTGATGCGAGCGTCTGTCTTGGATGTCTTCAGAAAGCTAAATGCTGTTTCGTCTCTAGTAACCCTTTACCATAAGCCAAAAGAAAAAGAAAATGATTATTCTGTTAAACACTTCTCTGCGTCTGCTTGTTTATATGTTTAGTGCATGCAAAAGTTTCCAGCAGAAACAGCAGGCTTTAATTTCTGTATTCAGTCTTGAGTTTTCTAAGAAGGAAGCTAGGAACTTTTGCATATACCTAAAACAAATATCATCATCAGTTCGATGACGGAGTGCTGTCGTAGGGTCACTGGTATTAGTACTGGTAGGCTATGGCTGTGAGATCTGGAAAGTGTTCGAACAGAGGATGGAAAGTTTGAAACTGAAATACATAGATGCATAAGAATACATTCTAAAAGCTAAGCAGACTATTAACCCTTTGCTTGTCCAGAGTATTTTTGTGTGTACTCTCCAAATGTTCATGCTGTACATTATATATAATGCAGAGGTTTTTATTATGTGAAACACTATATATCAGCACATTCTATTGGCCAAAAAAACCGAGTTGCCTTGCAACAGTTATAAATCTGAAAACAGGCAGGCCTCCTGTGGTCATATATGACACAATATATTAGATAAGTTCTTTCCTCAGACATCCTGCCCAATAGTAGACTCTTTTCTTAAGCGTCCTTAATTTTACCATTCTTTGAAAATCATGGCTCATGTGCCTCACCTATGATGCACAGACATGGAAATCACATGTACTCCGCATCATATCTGATGCGGAGGACAGGCAAAGGTTTAAGAAACCAAAATTTTTTTTATAAACAAAGAAATGAGTACTGAACTGCTGGGTAGTATCATTCCTCCTCTATGGCAGTGAATGCTGGACAATCTCCTCAAAGATGAACAAGAGACTTGAAGCAAGAGAAATGTGGTTCTACAGAAGGATGCTGAGAATACCATAGACTGAACATGTGAACAATGACAAAGTTTTAGAGAAAATGGAAAGAAAAAGGACACTGATACATCAGAAAGGTATAATTGAAATTTCTAGTATATTTAATAAGGAAAGAAGACTTGGAAAATCTGAGACTGACAGGACAGATTGAAGGCAAGACAGAGGAAAACAATGCATAACCTACTTAGTGAGCTTGAGTAAATGGATGATGGAATTTAGGAAAGCATAACAGTCCAGTACTGTTTACTTACTAGGATGAAAATAAAAACATTGAAATTAATGAATCATGTAAAATAAGAAATAATTAAGGTGCTTACATGTCAATGACACTTGGTCAGCATTCAAGTTCTTCAGTTAAAATCTTTTTCTTAAAACATGATGGCAGTATTTGTTTTGGATTTTATAAGTACAATACAACTTCAAAATTATCTTCCTTTTATCATTGAGCTAAAAATAAACTTAGACATAAATAAATTATATTATTTGATTTGTCACATTTATAATAGAATAATAGAAAATTCTGTTCCCATTATGTTATCCTAAGAGCCTCTCAAGATGGATGAACAGCCCATCTTTATGTAGTGGACCCTTTTACAGTCATATAGTAGAGGACTGATATTACATAACAGTGTGGTATTCATTAAATGACCATTGACAGATGTTTGTATCATTTATTGAGAAAAAAATTAGATGTTTTATATACCATCAAATGTTATATATATATAACCATATACATACACATACAGTTACACTTATATATACATGTATATGCCAGACATACATAATGATCATCATCTTCTGTATGACATGTTCTGTCAGGACATGGGTGATCATGTCTCTCCACAATTTCCTGTCTTTTGTAGCTCTTATTAAATTTTAGAAATTCTGTTTCCATTATGTCAGCCTAAGATTCCCTTGAGATGGGTGGACTATACATATATATGCATCTATATACCTCACATATGCACACACACACTTTATTTTTATATATATATATATATATATATATATATATATATATTTATATTTATATATAAATAAATAAATAAATAAAAGGTGCGATGGGTATATTATATTTTATATTTTTAATTTTGCACATGCCCATTGTTTTTTTTTTGATTTTGTTGCCTGTAAGGTAAGTTGAACATCATCTGTAAGAAAAAGAGCACCATGATGCAATTCACTCTGCCAGAAATTTGCAAACAGCATGCTGTACTGATTGGTATTCATGCAGAAAGCTCCAATACTAACATTTCAGAGTGTTTGGGTGTCAATCTGAGGCCAGTGCAGAGGATTCAGAAAGAATTGGATGAGTCTAATGGTGATTATGAAGGTATTTGAAATGATTAATAGGGATAGCTACATTATGCCTCCACTGATCTTCACACAGGGTCTCACATTCAACACAGAGTGCAGACGAGGGTCAAGAGGGTAGCTGCTTGAAGACTCTATGTCTGGCAACAGGACTCTGCATAATGGCACACAAGCAGGAGAACCCAGTCATGGCAGTCAGACAATTTCTGTGACCACATCACCCCTTACATCTGGCCACCTAACTCCCCAGAGTGCAACCCCCTTGATTATGTGTGGGGAACAATTGAGTGAGAGAACAACGAAACTCCTTGTAACAGCAAAGATGAACTAAAGGCAAGGATTATGGCAGCATTCACCAACTTAAAGAAGGTGACTGTCCAGAACAGATGCAGGAGATTCCAAAGTTGTCTGGAGGCCATGGTTGAAGCTAATGGCAATTTTATTAAATAATTTTACTCTTTACCATTTCAAGATATTTTTGTGTAATTTTGGTAAATATATCTGTTAAAATGAGATGTTAGTGCTATTTTCATTTTTGTGTAATTTAGATGCAAATTTATCCATTGCACTATATATATATATATATATGTCTCATTTCCAAGTATGCCTGTCTGGTAGGGCAGCTAGCAATCCCTACTGTTGACACCTGCTCAGGCAAATTCATGTTTGTTGTTATATAAGAAACTGAAGAACCTAGTAGGTTAATGTTTACCCTGATGCCATAGTCTACCAGTACTAGTACCTAGCCTAACTCCATTACACTATCAGCTTATTGTCAAATCACATTAAAACACCAGTTCTCTTATGATCACCAAAATTAAGCAATGTTGAGTCTGGTCATTACCTAGATGGGTGACCACTTGGGAATACAAGGTACTGTAAGCTGGGATGTGTGGGTGGTGTAATGGATAACGGCTTGGAATTTTTAATCAGAGAGCTGAATTCCAATTCCAGTTGGGTTCATTCTATTCCCTTACATGCAAATATGCTTGCGAAAGTATGAATCAACCTTTTTTCCCCGAGGTATGGGTTAATTAGTAGGACAACAAATCATAATTATCTCGAAAAAAATTTATGATCTAAAAATATTTTCTGGCTTTAAATAACTTTTATAAGGTTGATAAGACATTACAATGATGAGCCCAAAATGCGATTTGCAGGCTGGGAACACTAGAATCAAGCAGACACAGAAGTTTAAATAGCATTTTGACAGAAGATGGTAAGTGTGACACTGAGATCCGTAGAAATATTGAGATGGCCAAGGACACATTCCAAAATCTAGGCAGAGTATTGCGAGACAGGAGGATTTCTTTGGTAACAAAGAATACTGAGCTGTTACATCTGTCCTTCTTTACAGCATTGAATGTTGGACAGTCACCTCAAAAGTAAAGAAGAGACTCGAGGCAATGGAAATATGGTTCTACAGAAGGATGCATGGATCAAACATGTGAGCAACGAAGTCTTAGAGAGAATGCAAACAAGGAAGAGGCTTATACTTAACATCAGAAAGAGGCAGCTGAAGTTTCTGGGGCACATAATGAGGAAGGAAGGTCTGGAGAATCTGATACTCACAGGTCGAATAGAGGGAAAGAGAGACAAAGGAAAACAATGCATAACATATCTAGTGGGCTTGAGCAAGTGGATTGCAGAATGTGGTCTAGAGGAGATGGCAGAGGGAAGGAACTTGTTAAAAGCTGCAAGGGATAGAGGGAGGTGGAGAGCCATGATCACCTACGTCCTGAAAGGACATAGCATGTAAGAAAAGAAGACATTAAAAAACCCAGATCAATCAATCCATTATACTATCATATTCAATGTAAATACTGGAGGTGGGTTATATGGGAAGTTGAGGTATTTGGTTGGTTAAATTTATACAAACACTATAGACTACCAGTATTTGTACAAAGCCTTAATCCATAAACCTGTAATATTAAATGCACATCAGAGAGGTTGAGATGAAAAGTTGAAGTATGTGATAGGTTACTGGTTATCCAGATGCTGTGAACTACCAAGATTTATACATAGTCTAACATCATAATACTGTTGGTTGCTTGCTTGCTTGATTTTGTTTAGTGGTATATCAACATCTATTGCTTATTTAATGCCAAAATCTAAATATTTTGTATGTAATTTTATGCTTTCAACTACAGATATTTTGTACTTAATTTTTTACTATGTGAAGGTATGTTTTTAGATATATAGCTTGTAAATCATAAAATGTATTGTAGGTAATTTTACTATAAAAACATATTTTTATATATTCTTTAAATGTTGCATTGATTGTCATGTCACTATAAAAATGTATTTTTAGTCATTTTATTATAAAAATATACTGGTGATTTTTGTTTGGGGGTATACTATTTGCCCATAGCTGGGACCCTAACAGGTACTACCACCTTGGATCAGGGTGGACCTGGGAACAACAGCAGTTAAGAGGTGGTTCCACACTCCTCAAAACGTCCAATCTCCCAATCAGAGGTCTTGCTTCTGGATGTAGTTTGTCATCATACCCAGGATGCTCATAATACTGTAATATTAAATATAAATATTGGGGGTATGATATATGAAGTTGAGATATTCAAGAGGCTAATCTACTTAAACAGTGCTAATTAGGGATCTAGCCTTATATGGCATCCAATGGACCATTTCTCTCTGCTTTTATGCTGTGAAGCATATGGGTAAAATAGCAGGACACACAGAGTTCTCTTGCCTTGGATGGCAAGCAGTGTACAAGATAGAAAACTCTGAATTCAAACCAGCCTGGAGAGTGTTGGACTCTGAGGTTATCTTGCCCAGTAAACACCACTACTGTTAAGGACTACAGCACATATTGTGCCCCTGTGACCTTAATTGGTTATGTGACACATGATCGTAATATGTATGTGTAGTGTTGTTTATTGTATTTGTGAGATTTTAAAACACATGTAAAATTCATATATAACTAATAAGTGTTGTTTTTAGGAAAAATAATCATAGATTTATTTTATAACTTGAGTCTTTGTAGATTGGTCTCTCCACTATAATACCAGCAAATCAGACATAGAATAATAAGGTGGTATTTTTAAAAAATTTTTTAATGCATCTTTTAAGCCTGCAAACATAGAATTATTTTTTGGGTAGACAACCACGGGGTTTATTTTTAATGTACAATTCTTGAAATTTATGTACACACAGAAACCCAATTACAAAGAACATTTTGCAGGAAATTTAATAAAACTCATTTTAAAGAAAACATTATGCAAAACATTGATGTCAGGTGACATCATGAGTACATGATAGTTTTTTGGTTTTTATCTACAAATTTTGAAGTTCTTTTAAGTTTCTTTGAGTCATGCCATCTTCAACTTGATGACCTGATATTTTTCTGGCAGATTTTCAAAGAGGGACAGGGAGAGGTTGTTTCTGAAAGAGAGAGAAACAGAGTAGGTGAAAGAGTGACAGTTGGGGTGAGTATGTTTGAAAAACAGACTGAGTAGGAGGGAGACAGAAATATAATTTAGAGAGAGTAAAAAATAAAGGAGATGAGTAAATATGGAAGAGTAAAAAAAAGAAAAAAAAGAGATGAATAAAAGAAGAGAGATGGGAAAAGGAAGATGAACCTTAATGTCAATGTCTTAAGCATGTTAAAAGAAAAGGAAAAAAACGGTAAAAAAAATTGAATGACTGAAACTCTGAAAAGAATAAGAGACAAGGAATATCTGAAAATATGACAGAAATGAAGACATTGAAAGAAAGGATGGAAAAGATACAAGAGAAAGAAAGTGAGAAGGAAAGACACATATTGATGCTTCTGCAAACAAATGAAGTCAATTTTGTTCTGTCTTTTCCAAACTAAGTAGTCAACATTTAATTAATTTTAACTCTTTGCTGGGAGAAATATTTTGCCATCCTTTGAAGACTTTCAAGTGGGGGAATCTGAGAAAGGTGGGATGACTGCAAGCACCTTATTAGAAGACATTTCCAAACAGCACTTTATAAGATGAAAAAAAAAATCCATGAGAGAAATATAGAAATACTGACATTACAAAGGTTTTCATCTGTTTCTTGTCGATAAAAATGAAACAATATAAGAATTATATATTTGGCATCAAGTTTCTTCCATATTGGCTTAAAGGAGAGGGGCAAATACTGACTCAGAAAACTTGAAACATCAAGCAAAAGTTTTCAATTTATGAGATAAAAATTTGAATAACTACTGTTTTGAAGAATGTATCAATGAATTAATAGAAAATGCCTTATAATAATTAATGCATACACATTTCATACTCTAAATGTACCCAATATTAAGTTTTTTTAATATATTCACCCAAAACAAGGCCCAAGGGCAACTAAAGATAGAAGGTTACTGTGAGGAGTTATATTGACATAGGAAAGAACAAGCATTAGATATAGAGAGCTTGTAGTAGGATTAGGTAGTAGAGAGTGACAAACATTCTCTCTCTCTCTCTCTCTCTCTTCTATCCTTTCCTTCTATTGTTCCTATCCTCAGTCACTGACAGAACCCGGACATAGCTTATGTGGGTCAGTGAACATAATAGAAAAAAAAAAAATCAACCAAAAATCAAATGTAAAACATGAATGTGTCAGGCCCATTAAAAAGAAGAAAAAAACCATGTACATAACAGAAAAAGCGTGAAATTAGTTTGATGTAGCAGTTTGAGACGCAAGGGTTGGAGGTTCATCAGCTGTGAGTTTGACCTGATGTACAACTCCAGAAGGAAAATGGAGAAGAAAGGATGAATTCAATAAATTAATTTCTGTCAACCAAAAAACACAATGACCCTGTATGAACTCTCAAATCACAAAAGGACTTAGACGATTAGTCACCCACTTTAACCACTGTAACCAAATTGAGTCAATAATAAAATTGTACTATAGACAGTAAATTTGGCTTTTACCTATGTATAAGCCCAACCTTCATCTCTATATACCATAAACTGAAGTAGACTTTAGAAGGAACTGGAAACACAATCCTAAACAAGAAAATAGTATAAACTTCTACTACCGTTTAAAAGACCTGAGAGTTATAACTAATACAACCTCTGTCCCATAACAATTGTTACAGTTGTATACACATTTCATATACTAAATGTACCAAATATTATTGACAGAATTTTTTTTCTTTCACAAATATTCACCAAATACAAGGCTCAAGAACTACTCAAGGTAGAGGGTTACTGTGTGAAGCTATATTAGGATAGGAAAGGACAATATTAAGAATATAGAGCTGAAATAGATTTGTGAAATTGAATGCAACAGAACAGACCAAAATTTGAATTCAGCTTACCAGTTCTACTTTCTGCACTAATAATCATTACACTACTCAATTAGTATCCTGTAATGGCTGAACCTCACCATGTGCCGCCAGCTTATAGCCTTTTGTCAGATTAACGTTATCTAATTATATATCTGTAAAGTAACAGGTTCCTAATCAGAGGCTGAGATAACAAGATATTTTCTTTCTGATGCCTACAATTCAGATTGTAGTTTGAGTTGTGTCATGGTCATTGGTATGTGAAATGGAATCATCAAATTTTCTGGGATGAGGAGTTATTTAAATTTGGAACAATATCCTCCCATTTGTTCTTTTTATCAAACTCCATTGGCATATCAGGTCTGTACTGATATGATCAATTCTGACTGAATTTCTGGAATAAAGAGTTCCCAATATCCAGAGTTTTTTTTAGAATTAACAACAAAGATGATGAAATTTGTCTGAATGTAAATAATATAAATCATTTGAATTTCTTGGTTGGGTGGTTGATTTGTTTAATTGCATATCAATTCCTTATGGGTCATTTAATGCTGAAGTTTAATTTTCTTGGGAGCTTTGAAGTAATAAAAATAAGATATATGTTATTCTGCTTTCACAACTGAATACAT